TGATTTGAGGTGGCACAGGAGAAAACTCCAATACTTAATCAAGTGGAAGGGCTACCCTTTATCAGAGGCATCTTGGGTAAAGAGGAGGAACATCCAGGCTGATCACCTTATAGCAAAATTCCACGCAGAAAACCCAAACAAGCCCGCGGGGGGGGGTGTGTGCGGCCATAAATTCTATACTGTACTCAAATTGTTTTTGCTTTGCACAGGTCATCTTCAGGAAGAGAGGGGAGCCGAATGTCAACTCGTAAAGCATTCCTGGCCTGCTCTTGAGTTGCCATAGGCAGGAAGGGGTGAAACACATTCCACCCATACCTTTCTCAAGGCTGCGGCCTAGGTTACCAGAGCCAGTGGGAGAGACGTGTTCTCTACAGCCCGCGAAAGTGCTCCGTTGGAGAATGTGATTTATGACACACCCTGGGAGGAGGGGGGGGAAACAGGGTCATAGTTGGGATGTAAATTACATGGGGCAGAGCTGACTTCCCTTGGCTGTTTGCCGACATGTTACTCCTAATAAATAACTAGATTTCTTGAACTGGAATTCAAGGCTCATGAATTAATTAGGGCATCCGTCAGAACCCTGACAATCAAAGAACAAACTGGAGACACGGGAAGACAAAGGACTACATGGCCAGTACATTAAGAAAAAATAGCAGGGAAAATAGATAATAACAAGACCTGGCAATGGCTAAGGGCAGGAAAGTTAAAGAAAGAGACCGAGGGATTAATTCTGACTGCACAAGACCAAGCCTTAAGGACAAATGTCTACAAAGCCAGAATTGAGAAGAAAGCATCAGACAGTAAGTGCTGCTTATTCAAAGAAGCTGAAGAAAAAGTGGACCACCTGGTAAGCTGCTGAAAAAAGATCTCACAGACTGACTACAAGCAGCGGCATGGAAAAGTAGCAACAATGCTGCATTGGAAGATGTGCAAGAAATATCATTTGCCTGCAAGCAAGAACTGGTGGGACCATAAAATAGAAAAAGTCATAGAAAATGAAGAAGTTAAATAGTTCTGTGACTTCAGAATCCAGACAGACAGGCACGTGTCACATAACACCCCCGACTTAACAGTTGTTGATAAGAAAGACACAAAATTCTGGATAGTGGATGTGGCAGTGCCTGTAGATAGCACTATAGAAGAGAAAGAACTGGAGAAGATAACAAAATACAAAGACCTACAAATAGAATTAGAACAACTATGGTAAAGGCAAGCAAAGGTAGTACCAATAGTAATAGGCGCCTTGGGTGTAATCCCAAAACTGGAACACCACTTGAACACCATAGGCATTGACCAATTTGCCATCAGTCAATTGCAGAAGACGGCTTTACTTGGAACAGCCTCCATCCTGCAACGATATCTGTAATACCTGCAAGCATCCAGATTTGCCTATCCCAGGTCCTTGGTAAGGACTCGATAGGAAGATAAAAATGCTAAACCCAATCTGAACATTTGGCAGACTGTGTGAAGAATAATAATAATAATAATAATAATAATAATAATAATAATAATAATAATAGTAGTAGTAGTAGTAGTAGTAGTAGTAGTACTAGTAGTAGTAGTAGTAGTAATTTCCTTCCCCCCCCCCGGATACCTGATCCTGTCTTCCTGACACCAAAGGGCAGTTGGGCTGCCATGGCTGAGCCTGGACGGCTATCCGGTGCGGTCCCTATGGTTATGGGATTACCACCTTTGGATCAGTAGTGGCTTAGCCACAGTGAACCAACCCATGCACCTACCATCACTAATGATGAGAAGAAAATAACAAAATTCCTGGAAAGTGATGTAATTGAACAACGATTAATGGATCAAAGACATTTCATCATCCGTAATAAAGTTTTTACAGATGTGGAATGCAACATCTAGAAACATTGTCTAAAAAGAAAACAATGTAATGATGAACAGGCTAAAGAAATTATCCCAACACCTGAACAAACTGACTAGCCAGCGGAAGAAACCAACATACAGGATAAAGATCCTCCTGTGCAACAACTCAAAAGTGTAGAGCTAAGTGATATAGCAAAAATGCTGAAAAAAAAGATTCAAAACCACATCAAAGAAAATACAGAAAGAAAAAGACTGCCTGCTATTCGCGAAGTGCCTAGCAAACGAGTGAAAGATCTACTAAATGTCGTGAACATCATTTTAACTTCCATCCCATCCAGCACATTACATGAAACAAATCAACTAATGTATAGCACAGCCACCATTATAACTGCAGAATTGGGTTATAAAATGCCAAAAAAGAAACCTGCTGAAACACCAAAGTGGAAAAATCAACTTGAAAATAAAATTTAAAAACTACGAGATGTCAGCAATTTGAAATACTTTTTTTTATTGAAAAATTTTATAAAAGATACAAACATTTTCTCCCCCCTTCCCACCCCTCCACCCACCCCACTTTCCCACCTACCCACCCTTTCCACCTTCCCCCACACCCCCCTCCCTAGACTTCCCAGAACAAGCACAGGGTATAGCATTCACAAACATAAAACTAACATATGCTAACAATTTGTTGGCTTCAAATTCTCCCTAGGTCTTTAACTCCTTATAACTCAAAGCACTATAAACATAAACTAAAGATTAAAAATGTTTCATTGATAAGCTATATGAAACTTCTTAGTCTGATACTTGTTTTGAATGAAGATGGAGAATCCATCTTCTCCATTCCGATATATATCTTTCATTGAGTGATCTTTAAGATATGATGAAATTTTCGCCATCTCTGCCAAATGTGTGACTTTTAATGTCCATTCCTCAATAGTAGGTGGATCTTCTTTCTTCCAATACTGTGCCACCAGTAGCCTGGCTGCTGTTATTAAATTTAAGACCAACTTAGTCTCTGTCACAGTACAATCCGTAACTATTCCCAACAAAAAAAAACTGTGGTGTAAATTTGATCTTTTTCTTTAAAATATTTTGAATGATCCACCATATTTTTATCCAAAAAGCCTTAATTTTTTTACATGTCCACCATATATGAAAATACGTAGCATCTTCACACTCACATCGCCAGCATTTAGGTTGTAAATCTGGATACATACAGGCTAGTTTTTTTTGGATCTAAATGCCATCTATAAAACATTTTATAAAAGTTCTCTCTTAAATTTTGGGCTTGTGTAAATCTTACATTTCTAACTCATATCTTTTCCCATGTTTCCATCATTATTAGTTCTCCTATATTTTGTGCCCATTTTATCATACAATCCTTGACTAGCTCTGTTTCTGAATCTATTTCCACTAATACATTAGTGGAATTATATGCATTTGACTTTTGTCTCTTATTTGTTTTATCAAGTTCTCATCCTGTTGCAAAATACCAGTTTTCTGATCTTCTCCCCATCTGGCCTGCAGCTGTCCATACTGAAACCAAGTTCTAATTATTCCTTCTTCTCTTAATTGTTCCATAGATTTTAATTGTAATCTAACCAGTGGTGGGATTCAATTTTTTTAACAACAGGTTCTGTGGGCGTGGCTTAGTTGGGGGTGTGGCTTGGCAATCATGTGACTGGGTGGGTGTGGCTAGCTGGTCACGTGACTGTGTAGGCATGGCTAGCTGATCATGTGACTGTGTAAGTGTGGCTAGCTGGTCATGTGACCGGGTGGGCGTGGGTATGTCCATAGGGACTACTCAGAGGGCTGAAAAAAAGTCATTTCTGATTGGGCCTCGCACTTTTGACCGGTCCTCACACTTATGACCATCCTCACATTTATGCCCGTGCAGCTTTCTTAACAACCATGTCACTCATTTCACAACTGCTTCTCTTCACCATGGTGACAAGATAGGGCAAAAACGTAAAATGTGAGGACAGTCGTAAGTTCGAGGACTGGTCAAAAGTGCGAGGACCAGTCAAAAATAACTTTTTCAGCCCTCTGAGTAGTCCATATGCACAAAAGGACTACCCAGAGGGCTGAAAAAAGTGATTTCTGACAGGTCCTCCACTTTTGACCGGTCTTCGCACTTATGACTGGTCATCATTTATGCCCATTGTAGCATTCTTAACAACCATGTCACTCATTTCACAACTGCTTCTCTTCACCATGGTGACAAGATAGGGCAAAAATGTAAAATGTGAGGACAGTCGTAAGTTCGAGGACTGGTCAAAAGTGCGAGGACCAGTCAGAAATAACTTTTTCAGCCCTCTGAGTAGTCCATATGCATAAAAGGATACAGCAATAGAGGGGGGGGTGAAGGAAGGGAAGGGAAATTAGAGTAGGAGGGAGGGTAAGAGAGGGAGGAAGAGAGGAGGAGAAGGAGAAAGGAAGAGGAAGTAGGGAGGAGAAGAAGAGGGGGAGGAAGAGAAAGTAAGAAGGAAAGAAAAAAGAGAGGTGGTAGGTTTGAGGAGAAAGATTGCTGTACAATAAAAAAGATGAAAGGGAAGAAAGCCAACCCCAAACAAATATAAAGCTATTAAGATAAAAGAATGAATTGTTAAACTTTAAAGAATAAAAGAGAACAAATATGAATAAATAACAATAATTAGAAACACACATACAAACATACAATGTATTTTCTTTGAACAGAGTATTTGGCTGGTTGACAAATTTAAACAGTGTTTAGTCATTTCAATTAAATTTACAATTTCTATATTTCCTTTTTGCCATATTTATTCCTCATCTATTTTTGTAAAAAACCAATATTACCCTTCATCCTCATCTCTAATCTTAATCAAATTCAATTTTTCCCTTCTATTCTATATTATACCCCTTCCCATTGCCGCCCTGAGTCTTCGGAGAAGGGCGGCATATAAATCAAATTAAAAAAAAAAAAAAAAAATTGTCATATATTTTTATATCCATCCTCACATTGGTTAATTATGTAATATTAGTTGTTTAATATAAATTCAACATTTTAATATAAATCAATTAGTTATATAACTACCTTTTTTGTATATTAATCAATATGAACATGAATATTCCAATTATTTCCATGCAATCCAATTTCTTACAAATCAATTAATTATATTTACCAATAATAATAAACCAAATAATTTCCCCCATATATTCCTCCAAACCACAACTTAACCATTTCTGCTTTCAGAAATATACAATTAATAGTATCTCAATTATTACAATTCCCTAGTTAAATAGAGCTTTTTTTCTTTTGTGTTTTAAAATCTTGAACTCTCCTCTTTTTCCCTAAATTTCCCATTGTTTGCACCTACCTTTTTTGGTGAGGAAAAAGAAAAGAAATCTGCCTGCCTAATTATCCAATGTTGCAGCAACAACAAAGCAGTTTTAATTTCGTTTTTCAGGATAGCTAGGGGAAAAAAAAATTGCTCCAGCAAGCAGCAGCGCCCTGAGCAAAACAGCTGAGACAAATCAGCTGAGATTGGGGAGCCGATCTAAGCAAGGGCTAATTAGCCTATGCTGAAGCTCCGCGGGCCAATAAAATTACAAAAAAACACCGAACCATTTGTTAAATTGCTGGCTCACCCGCCCCTCGCCCACCACTATTTATTGGCAATAAATAGTGGTGCGGAGGGGCGGGGCAAGCCAGCAATTTAACAAAGGGTTCGGCTGCACCATTGGCTATAGGGCGGCCCTTTGAAGCCCCGCGGCAAGAATTTGAACAGTTTTTTTTCCTCTAGCCATCAGCTGGGACTCTGGAGGCAGCAATAGATTGGGAGTGGGCGGGGTAAGCGAATGGCCGGCGATCCAACAGAGCAGAGAGTGAGGGTGAGTGAAGGCATGGAAGCTGCTTTCTCTACCCTGCTCTCTTGCGTCCAGAGCCGGTGGGGAACCACGTGGCAGCCCACGTGGATCCCAGGCAGCGGAACTCAGGCTAGGGAAGGGGTGGGAAGGGGTGGGCAGCCAAGCTGTCTCAGGAATTCTGGAAGTTGAAGTCCACAGGTTGTAAAAGAGCCACAATTGCCTACCCCTGGCTACTGTAGGCTGGCGCCGTGCGAGTGGGAGGTGGGGCGGGGTGAGGGGCGGGCGAGCCAGCAATTTAACAAACAGTTCGGTGTGCTGCGGGGCCAATAAATTATAAAAAAACACTGAACCGTTTGTTAAATTACTGGCTCGCTCGCCCCATTTATTGGCAATAAATAGTAGTGCGGAGGGGCGGGACAATGGGCGGGGCGAGCCAGCAATTTAACAAAGGGTTCGGCCGAACCCCCTAGAACCCCCAGAATCCCACCAGTGAATCTAACTCCTTCTTTATAAAGGAGTTCCTTATATGTAATCTTATCTTGTTTTTGCTCCACATTTATATTCTCTATCGCGTGTCTGGGTACTGTCCATATTGGTAACTTATCGTTTAATTTGTATTGATACTTCTTCCAGACACGCAATAAAGCATTCCTGATATAGTTTCATATTTGTGGTCATAATATAAGCCCCTAAATATTTAACCTTCTTAACTATCTCAAATCCTGTTACCCTTTCTATCTCTTCTTTTTGGCTTCTAGTCATATTTTTAGCTATTATCTTTGTTTTAGCTGTATTTATTTTAAAACCAGATACTTGTCCATATGGGTTAATTATATCTATCAAGGCTGTAATCAATTGTGCTGGTTGGGCTAAGGTAACAACCAGGTCATCCGCAAATGCTCGTAACTTGTACTCATGCTGTTTGATTTTAATTCCCTTTATTGTATCTGTCTCACGTATTTTACTCAGTAAAATTTCCAGCGTCAAAATAAACAACAATGGAGACAAGGGACAACCTTGCCTTGTTCCTTTTTCTATATTAAAAATATCTGTTAAACCACCATTAATTATTATTTGCGCTGTTTGTTTCTGATATATTGCCTTGATAGATTGTATAAAATATTCTCCAAGTTGCATCCTTTCTGTTAATTTCAATAAATAGAAAATACCAATTCAATCTATCAAAAGCTTTCTCAGCATCCAAAAATACTAGCACTGCGGGGACCTGGTTGTTCCTCCCCAAATACTCTAGTAAGTTAACAATTTGCCTTACATTACTTTTCATTTGTCTACCATTTATAAAACCAGTTTGATCATGATGAATCATTTGCTGCATAACTGTCATTAATCTATTTGCTAATATTTTAGCAAAAATCTTATAATCTGTATTTAAAAGTGAAATCGGCCTGTAGTTTTTTGAATCTGTATGATCTTGACCCTCTTTTGGGATCAAAGAAATAAAAGCTGTCTTCCAAGTTGGAGGTACCTCTCCTCCCTGTTGTATATTGTTAAATAATTCCTTCAGTGGTTCCACCATTTCCTCCTGTAAACTTTTATAATAAACAGCTGTCAAACCATTCGTCCCAGGAGCTTTACCCACTTTCAACTGCTTAATTGCAAACAAAATTTCCTTGGAAGTTATCAATTGATTTAAACTATCCCTCTGCTCTTTTGAAGTTATATAAATATTCTCTTTCTGCAAATATCTATCTATATCTGTATCTTGAATTTTATCACCAGTATACAGCCTTGAGTAAAACTTTAAAAAAGATTTTTTAATCAATTCTTGCTCATAAACCTCTTTACCCTTGTATTTTATTTTCTCTATAGTCCTTGATTTCTGCTTTTTCCTTAATAAATATGCTAACCATCTGCCAGGTTTATTGGCATTACAAAAAGTATTATGTTTAGCATATTGTAAATTAGTTGCCACTTGGTCTGCTATTAACATGTTAAATTGACCTTTCAGTAAATTAATTGCCTCTTTAATTTTCTTATCTGTTGGATTAACTATCAAAGCTCGTTCTTGTTTTCTAATCTCTTCTTCTAATTCCTTTCCTTTTTCCCCCTGTTTTTTTCTATACTTATTATTCAAATATATCAAAATACCTTGCATATATGCTTTACTTGCATCCCACACCATTTCCATCGATGTACCCTTTTGCATATTCATAACAAAAAATTCTTTCATAAATTTTTTACACACTTTAACATTTTCTTCATATCTAAACAAATTATCGTTTAGCCTCCAGGACCTCCGAAGCCCCTTTCCATACTCCAGTTCCATCCAGGCTGGACTATGGTTTGTCAATGTTCTTGAACAAATCTTCGTATTCTTCACCCTAGAAAAGAGGTTGTTAGTAATTAGTATAAAATCAATCCTTGAAAAGGATTGATGTCTATCCGAAAAGAAAGTAAAATCTTTTTCTTCTGGGTTTCTTTCATGCCAAATATCCCTCAACTCCCAATCATCCATCATCTCCAAAAACGATTTCGGGAATCTTGCTTTTGCTGAAACATTTTGCTTATGTCCCTTCTTGTCCTTTTTAACATCCAAAACACCATTCCAATCACCCAGTAGGATACAAGTTTTTTATCTTCATTGTGTCAACTTAGAGTGTAGAAAATTATAAAAAATTTCCTGTTGTTGGTTCAGGGCATATACTCCAATTAAAAGTAATTTTTCTCCCTTTATTAAAAGTTCAATCACTAAGAATCTTCCTTGATCATCTGCTTCAATTAATTTAGCAATTAAGTCTCTTCAAATATATAACTATACCATTTTTCTTCTCTGGTGCTGCCGCTACATAATGTGTACCTAATCTTGTATTTATTAGATATTTTTGATCTTGTATCCTAATATGAGTCTCTTGTAAACAAATTACGTTGTTTTTAAATTGTTTAAGATAGTGAAATATTTTCCTCCTCTTCTATGCAGAATTCAAACTATTAACATTCCAAGTTAAAAATCTAGTTCCCATGTTTGGGCCTCTGAAGCATTTGGAGCATTTGCTGATGATCTTGCCTCATTTGACTTTTAGGTCTGGCTCCTCCCACTGCTTCTGTTTTTGTAGTTCCTTGAATTGCCATCTGGAGTTGTTGCTGTCTTAATTCTTCCTTGCATTTAGCTGTTGCTGCTCTGGTCTGTCTTTGATCCTTTGGTTCTTCTGGTATATCAATTAAATCCAAATCTTGAACAGCAATCTGGATTTGTAGCGAATCTTCTTGACTAGTCGAGGCTCTCTCCTGGACTATTGTCATCAGCTCTTCTCTCTCTCCTTCCATTACTTCCTTTTTTCTTTTAACTTCTGGTGATTTTGGTGGCCCAGCCTTTAACACATTGGCATAGAAATCTCTTGCTTTCCATACTGTATTAAGCAAGTGAAAGTAAGTTCACTTACGCACGGTCACTCAAGCACTCGTCACTTCTCGTCTGGACTATTGTAACGCTCTCTACATGGGGCTCCCCTTGGGGTACACCCGGAGGCTCCAACTGGTGCAGAATGCGGCTGCGCGGGGGATTATGGGAGCGACGGGGCGCTCCCATGTGACTCCTCTCCTGTGCGAGCTGCATTGGCTTCCGGTGGACTTCCGGGTGCGCTTCAAGGTGTTGGTGATCACCTTTAAAGCGCTCCATGGCTTAGGGCCAGGGTACTTACGGGACCGCCTTCTGCCACCAATAGCCTCCCACCGGCCGGTTCGCTCCCACAGAGAGGGCCTCCTCAGGGTGCCGTCGGCCAGACAATGCCGGCTGACGACCCCCAGGAGGAGAGCCTTCTCTGTGGTGGCACCTACCCTATGGAACAATCTACCCCCAGAGATACGAGTGATCTCCGACCTTCGGATTTTTCGTCGGGCCCTAAAAACTTATTTTTTCCAGTTAGCCGGTCTGTCTTGATTTTAGGGTTAGTTTTAAAATTTTAATATTGATTTTAAATTGACAAGTTTTAAATTATGGGCCAAATTTATAAATTATTTTAACTTTATTTTTTAACTGTGATGTTTTGTATAGATGTTTTTATCTTGGCTGTTCACCGCCCTGAGTCCGAAAGGAGAAGGGCGGTATAGAAATTTGAATAAAGTAAAGTAAAGTAAGTAACAAGAGGAAAAAATGAAGGAGATAGAGAAGAAGACGGAGAAATGCGAAGGACGGATGGACAGTTGGGAGAAGAGACAAATAACCATAAATAGAGACTTAGAAGAAGAAATAATTTTTCTGGAAATGGAGCGATCTTCTTTTTTCCTCAGAATACAGAATGTGGCGGAAGAGAAAGGGGAAAAACTGGATGACATTGTAGGAGAAATAGTTGCAGAAACTTTGGAGGCAGATAGACTCATGATCCAACGGGATATTGATGAGACCTTTAGAGTATTCACTAGCTACGCAAAAAGGAACAATCTTCCTCAGGAAATTCCTGTTCGTTTTAACAAGAAAGCTTTGTGTGAAGAATTTTATAAACGAACAAGGGATCAAACTATTACATATAAAGGCCAACCGATGATAGTTTTGAAACAAATCCCACGTCGGGTAAGGGAACAGAGACGCAGATATCAATTTTTGATGACTTTCCTGAGGAAAAATGCAATTTCGTATCGTTGGTTATTGCCTGAAGGTTTATTGATGACATGGAGGGATAAGAAGGTGAGGATTCGGAGTCTTCAAGAAGCAAGAGAATTCATGGAACAACAATTTAATTTGTCAGAATTAGATGTTGAAGGAGAAGGGGAAAGTAGAAGTTTGGAGGAATCGCAAGAGGAAGAAGAGGTAGAGGAGAGGAGAGAAGGAAAGGCGGGAAAGAAGGGTGGGGGAATACGAAAAGTCGAGGAATTAACAGCACCTCAGAGGGAGACAAGACAAACAGTTAAGAAGGCTATAACAGCGGGAAAGTAAAAACTTAGGTGAGAAAAGGAAATGGGGGAATTAGTGTGTTTGATATCTGTAAATATTAACGGTTTAAATGCTCCTAATAAACGTAGTAGGATTTTGAATAAATTAAGAAAGGCTAAGTATGATATTGTCTGCATGCAGGAGACTCATATAAAAAAAGATCAAAACCATTTGTTAGAATGCCGGGCGTTGGGTAAAACTTATACCTCATTAGCAGGTCAAAAAAAAAAGAGGGATAGTGGTATATGTACGACATCATTTGAAATCCCAACAGGTTTTTGCTGACCAGGAAGGCCGGGTTCTCATGCTCGAAATAGAAATTGCCCAGTGGAAGTCTTTATTGGTTTGTATTTATGCCCCTAATGACAATCAGAGGACTTTTTATCAAAACTTATATGTTAAACTGGGGGAACTGGAATATGAACATGTCTGTCTAGTGGGGGATTTCAATGCTGTAATGGATAGAATGCAGGATTATGTCCCGGGAAACATACAAGGAAGGTTAAAGGATATTAAGAGAACATTACCAAAAATATGTAATGATTTAAGGGAGGAATTTGGATTACAGGATATATGGAGGTTGAGACATCCCAATAAAAATCAATATACTTATTTCTCTCCCAGACACCACTCGTGGACCCGAATAGATATGATATGGATGACTCTTGAGTTGAGGGGGCTGTTCTCGGAAGTGGAAATAGGGCCCAATCAGTGGGCGGATCATAACCCACTAATGGTAACTTGGAAGATCCCACATTGTAGGAAGAGTAGATGGAGAATGAATATAGGTATCCTGAAAGATGAAGAATTCATGAGTAAATTTAAGAAGGAGTTATATCTTTTTTTCCAGGAAAATAAGAAAGAGGATACTTCAATATACAATACATGGGATACGGTTAAGGCAGTGATGAGGGGATGGTTAATCAAATATATGATTGACAAACGTAGGGTGGGTAAGAAACACCGAGACAACCTCTTGAATAAATTACAACGGGCGGAAGAAAGGATGCAAAATGGATTAACCCAGACAATATTGATAGAGGAAAGGGAGTACTGGCAATGCCAGATTAAATTATTAGATCAAGAGGAATTAGCAAATAAACTAAAGTGGACTAAACAAAATTTTTTTGAAAGGGCGAATAAAACAGGAAAATGGTTGGCTTACCGGCTTAGAAAGGAGCAGGAACAACGGAGAATAGAAGGGCTGAAAGATGTAATTGGGAATTTCAATTGTACTAAGGAAGGCAAGAGAATGGTAGCTCAGGATTTTTTCACACAGCTTTATCAGAAAGGAGAGGAAAATATCTGTGAAATTCAGAAATATTTGGAAAAGACAGACTTGCCTAAAGTCTCGGAAACAATGAAGGAAATTCTTAATGCGGAATTTACGATGGAGGAAGTAGAAACAGTTATGAAAGCACAGGCGAATGGCAAAACCCCGGGTAGAGATGGCCTTCCAGTTGAATTATACAAAATAGTGTTTGACGTGATAGGAAGACACATGATGGATTTATTCAATGCGGTTATGAAAGAGGCTCAGGTTCCAGTATCTTGGACTGAGGCTTATATTTCTATTATCCCAAAAGAAGGAACTGATCTATCTCTTATTAAGAACTATAGACCAATATCATTACTAAACTCCGATTATAAGATATTTGCGGGGGTTCTTGCAGCCTTAACCAATTCATTCACTCAGACCAAAACGGCTTCCTTCCTAATAGATATCTACGAAATAATCTTAGAATTATCATGAATACACTAGAATTTTTCGAAAATCGCCTGGATAAACAATTAGCTTTAATTTTTGTTGACACCCAAAAGGCGTTTGACAGAATCAGTTGGGAATTTATGATTTCTCAATTGGAATATATGGAGTTTGGTGGGAATTTTATTCGGGCAATTCGAGCTATCTACCGGGAGCAGACTGCAAGAGTTCTCATAGATGGAGAGGAGACGGAGAGAATTCAAATTCGTAGAGGTACAAGACAGGGATGTCCCCTTTCCCCATTGCTATTTGTATTAACTTTAGAGCCCCTGCTTAGAGAAGTGAGAGGAAACACGGAAGTAAGAGGAATGAAGATTAGGCAGGAGGAAGTTAAAGTTCAGGCTTATGCAGACGATCTTGTATTTATCTTGGATCAACCACTGGACTCGGGCCTGAAATTATTATGCTTGATTAGAGAGTATGGGAAGGTAGCAGGGTTAAAGATGAATGAAGAAAAAACTAAAATCCTAGTGAAAAACATGACTCAGATGCAAAGGCAACAGCTGGAGCAGTTAATGGGTTTAAGAATAACAAATAAAATTAAGTATCTGGGTATATGGTTGACCACCAGATGTTCCTCCATAAAGGAGGATAACTATCTTCCTCTTTACAGCCAGATGCTCAGAGACTTAGAAAGATGGAAAAATCTCCAGCTATCAATTTTGGGAAGGGTGGCAACCATTAAGATG